GCGACACCAGGGGACACGGGGGCTTGACGGGGCCTGTGGGCACCGGGGCCCGTCCTCTTACCCCTCAGACGCACAAGGACACAGGCCTGCCGTGGCCCCAGGACCCAGGATGGGCCCCGCACAGACCTGGCCATGAGGAGCCCAAGGACTTTCCAGGGGACCAGGACACACAGAGGCCTGACCCCACCCTGGCACCACTCGGACTCCATGGGCTTCCTCTGAGTGCAGCAAGGTGCACTGACCTCCCCACTGTCTGGGCTGATGGGGTGGGGGCGTTCCCAGAGGATCTGTGGCACCCCCAGTTCTGCAGGCAGAGCAGCCAGGAAGGGCCTGGCCAGGTGGGAAAGGGGAGCCCGCCCTCCTGTTCTCCAAGGACGAGCACTGACAAGAGCCAGGCCTGTGGGCTCTCGGCCTCTGCTGCGGCTGGCCCTGGGGAAGGGCGGATGAGGCCCTCTCTGCCAGCCGGCTCTGCATGTGGAAACCCAGCCCGCTCAGCCAGGCGTGAGGAGCAGCATCACCACAGGGCCTGTGCCAGGCAGGGACAGCGGGACAGCCTCGGGGGAGCTCGGCGTGCAGGCCCTTCTGGGTGGAGTCAGACAAACTGAACAACCTCACTGCAATCACAGGGACTGGGAGGGGACCCCAATGTCCTCTACATTGTAAGGGTACATCGGGCCACGGCCCCACAGAGGTGACAACCGTGGCCCCAGGATGAGCATGAGCATAGGGGAAGCCACTCCCAGGCCTTGCTGCTCGGCTCTCGAGGGCAAGGCTTGGGGCGGGAGTGGGTGGGAGGGAGCTGTCCAGGCCCGTCCCTGCAAGGGAGGACATGAGAGTGACCCAAGCTGCGTGGCCATCGAAGGCCACAAACACAAGGTGGGGCAGTGACCGTGACTATCACTGGCCACTTCCAACAGCGTCCCGCACACGAGGTCCCAACACTGGCCTCTCCAGGGCCCAGCCAGGCAGCAGCCTCCCCACGGCACCTCGGCATCTGAGGAGGACTTGTCCTGGGACACCAAGTCCTGATTCCGGGGCCGAGTGAAGGCGAGGCCACATTTATATATTTTTGTCACTGAGACGTCAACACCAATGTGCTCTGGTCCCGGCTTGCGATCTCAGAGCAGTTTCTGTCCTGGTCACGATTTATGACAAGCAAGGCTCCGGCCACACCTCTGCCTCCCAGTTTTCCCACCAGGGTGCACGGACAGCCCCAACCGACCTGTGACCACTGCCCAGGGTTCGAAGTTCAAAAAGGAAAAGACCCCAGGCTGGCAATGCACAATGCTCCTCCGGACCCCTGAGGGGGGCTGCCCCGGACACCATCGCCTCCCCACTTCTCCGCTGCAGGGAGGGGTCTCCCCTGTGAGGAGGGGACCAGATGTGGAAGCCTGCGGCCCACCCCCACCCCGGTCAGCCTCGGGCCCACACCCATCCCAGCTCCACCAGGCATTGCCAGGCATGTCCCTCAGGTGGGGCAGCCCCGAGTAAACCCCACTCTGGGCGGACACTGGGGCGGGGACACGGGATCTAGGAAGACGTGGGAAATGCCCGTCCACGCACCAGCCCAGAGGAAGGGCTCACGGGGTCACTCGCCCCACAGCACGGTCACGGCTACTGAGCAGCGCCTCCCGGCACCTCCAGACACGGTCTCGATCCCAGTGCGAGAACACCTCTCAGAAACCAAAGCACGAACCGACTATCTCAGAACACGCCAAGTACTTAAAAGGCCAAAGGACACATGGGAAACTGCTCATCGATGGAAGAAGTGGTAACAACTGAAAGGCCCTCCTCTGCCCCTCAGTGTAAGGCGGAGGCAGAAGCCCAGGAGTGTAGAGAAATCCTGGGCAGGAGACCCAGAGCTCGCCATGGAGGCACCTGCCGAGAGGCTCCCTGAGCCACCCATCTGCCCACGGGTGCAGGATGGGAGGAGGCCCAGGGCCGGGCGGGTACTCACCAAATGCAGTCAGCACCAGTGTGTAAGTAGTCGATGTAGGGAAGGTGGTTTTGGTCTCGAGACCAGCATGAGGTAGAAAAAACCATGCCAATGTTTAGCCAAGGAATAGTCACTCCTGAAACACAAGGGGATGGGGGGGGGGAAGACAGCACGTGAGCGTGGGGACGGCAGCTTGGGGGCCTCTGCTCCCAGCTCAGGGAGGAAGGGGAGTCACAACCAGACCAGGCCTGGGGCGATCTTCCACGCTGGCTCGGCAGACATGAAGCCAAGGACACAGACATGGTGTCAACAGGAAGAAGAGACCACTGGGCTCCGTCAGACGAGAGCTAGACTCGGAGAGTCAAGTGGTCGACCCTGGTGGCTTACTTGACACTCGAGGCCCAGGGCCGAGTGCGCCACCCATGGGGAAGGAGGTACAGGGACCTTGTCTGGAGAGGTCTCTGACCAGGGTGGGGTACAGGCCTCCAGGAGGATGCCAGACCGCTGCTCCCAGCACCAGGCCTTCACAGGGACCAGAACGCCAGCTGCCCATCCGGCCTCTCCTAACGTCTGCGCACCCACCGCACGCGAACCCGCTCTGCAGCCTGTGCCTGCCTGGGCACGTGCAAGTCTAGCCTGAAATCACCTTCAGGACTGGAGTCTGGAGCTTGGAAAGCAACTTCCCATTCAGAGTTGGCTCTGAAGCTTCTGCCCGGCTGCGAAGTGACCGCCCTGCACCAACCCCATCCCTGACACCCTCATGTCATCCCTTTGGTTTTTAAGAGATTTTCTTTTTTGCCACTGGGCACCTGCTAGTCATGCTGCCATCTCTCCTCCTCCATTCTCCTCTCAGGATCTTGGGCACACATGCACACGCACCCGGCATGAGTTTTAAGTATCCAGGTCCGGGATGCAAACCACAGTCAACTACATGGGAGTCCAGCGACATAACCATTATGCCAACTGCTGGTCCCAAGTTCCCACTCCTTTCTGAAGATCAGAGTCCCAACATGGGGCCTTCTCACTGTCAGACCTGCCCCTCTCAAGCTGCGGAGGCAGGAGCCCCGGGGGAGCTTACCAGGCACAGCACCGAGGTGACGCAGGATGGACCCTGTGTTATTGGGGAGGACGGTGAGGTTCCATCCATGCCTGCAGAGGGAACGGGGCCGGGCGTCAGAGACCAGTGGGACAAGGACGCTGGCTGATCCCCAGGCAGGGACGGGAGACTTCAGGGTTACCTTGAAAAGGGCTCCGACTTCCCCACTGGGAACCCGCTGCCGTGAGTGTTGGTGTCCACCTTGCCACAGTGCACGGCCACGTGGCAGTCCTTCTCCTCCACCAACCTCCAGTACTCTTGCTGCAGGGAGAGGACAGGGCTGTCAGCGTCTCCGCAGTGCCCAGGCCATGGGCACAGCTTAGCCCACCAGGTCCGGGACGCCAATGGGTGACATGCACACCCGCAGGGAGACGCCCCATCTCCAAGGGAGCCCCAGAGAGCCCCCTGCAGAGTGTTGATGCGAAAGCGACCACTGGCTCAGGGCACACCGTGGGGCCACATGGAGAAGGCCCTGGTCTGCACCCAGGACCTCTCCAAGCACACGGGCACACACGCACACTCTCGTGGTCCAGGCTGAGGGGGGTGGGCCATGGTGCGCACGCCCTGCTGGGGTGCCCGTCTCCTTCTCTCTCTCTCTCACTTACAGAAGAGGGAAAAATAAAAAAAGAGGAAACCTTGGAAACGTGGGGGTCCACCCCACCTGCGGCACACGCACCTCCACCCTCACGACAGCCCCAGAGGAGCCGCTGTCTTCCCAACTTGGTCCCGACTTAAAGTGGAGTTGGCAGAAGCACAAAAAAGGCAACCTGCCCGTCCACAAATGAGAACTAGACGGGATGCACACGCACGCCAGGGGCTGCGAAAAAGAGGAAACCTTGGAAACGTGGGGGTCCACCCCACCTGCGGCACACGCACCTCCACCCTCACGACAGCCCCAGAGGAGCCGCTGTCTTCCCAACTTGGTCCCGACTTAAAGTGGAGTTGGCAGAAGCACAAAAAAGGCAACCTGCCCGTCCACAAATGAGAACTAGACGGGATGCACACGCACGCCAGGGGCTGCGGGGACAGGACCCCAGGAAGCCACCTGGGACTTGGCATCTGGCTGGCCCTGCATGAAGGGAGCCTGGCCGGTGCCGCCTCTGGCTTCTGCACAGGCTCAGTTCACCTCGGAGGAACGTGGCTGTCGACCAGGCCTCAGCTAAGGGCAGGCTCAGCCCCCAGCCTGCCTCATCGGGGCGCCCAGAGCGTAAGCGGCGACAGGAGGCCCGGCCACTTACCTCGATCTCGGCGGGCGCAGGCTCCTTGCTGAAACACATGTTCATGATGTTTCTTGCTGTCCGATAGAACGTTGTTAGAGAAACAGACCTTCCCTGGAAAAGAACACAGCAGTTACCGTTCAGGATCGAGGCCGAGCCGTCACCTCCATCAGGCCCCGTGGCACCTGCTCCAGTGCCCGGCCGGCCCTGTGGCAACTCGAGCTGCAGGCCGCTTTGGGTCCTGAGTTAGCAGCAAGAAGGAAAACATCACTTGGAAAGCTGCTGCACCCCGAGAAGAATGATGGCTCCAGCCACCGCCAGCAGGGGGCGAACTCTGACCCGGTGTGAGCAGGAGAGGTGCCAGGGGCTGTGAAGCCCGAAAGGACTCTTTTTTTTTTTTTGGGGGGGGGGGGGGGGCGTTATCAGAGGTTTTTGCTATTGGGCGTGTGCACTTGCCAGAAATACAGAGAGAGACAGAAAGCGAGAAATCACCCCCCAGGGGGAATGGCCACACCGCAATCTCTTTTCCTCCATTCTCCTCTTGGGATCTTGGGCACTCATGCACACACGCCCGGCGTTGAGTTTAAGCCACCAGGTCTGGGACTCAAACCATGGTCGACTACATGGCCGTCCAGCGACATAGCCACTACGCCAACTGCTGATCCAAAAGGACTCTGTTTAAGAAGCACCATACTGGCCAGCAGGTGGCGTGGTGGTTAAGGTGCTGGATCCCACATGGATGACTCCAGGGTTCAAGTCGCAGGCCCAGTGGTTTGAAAATCATGCCAGACACGTGTGCCCAAAATTGTGAGAGGAGAAGGGCCCCCGGAGGGTGATTTCTCACTTTCTCCCTCTCTCCTATTGAGTGTACAGACTCCATGGCAACAATCTAAAACTTAAAAACACAAATAAATACATTTTAAAAGCACCTTGCCTTTCAGGGAGAATCCCTCAGTTCGCCCCATTTAAGGAGGGTGGGCCAGAGAGGGACTGGCTGGAGCTCCCAACGGGGGCCCCAGGGCCTCGGGAGACTGGGACCTGCGAGCCGCTCACCCTCCGGGCACAATCCCATCCCCCCTCACTGAGGCCCCACTGCGGCTGTCGGTGTCTGCCCTGTTGCCAGGACGTTCCGGCTGATCCGCTCTGAGGAAACCGCCGACTCCGAGGGTCTGCGAATCTGCAGCTCTTGCCACTCCCCCCGCTGGGAGCAGAGCAGGTTGAGGCGTGAGCTGCTAGGAGTCCGCCTTTCCTTTTATTTCTTTCTGTTTCTGCCAGAGGGTGTGACGTGTGCACCAGGGAAAGACAGGGAAAAAGCCACGGGGCCTGGCCACACCTCTTTCTATCCCCACTTTGCTATCCCATCAGGATTCCGGGCCTGTGTGCACTCAGGCTGGGATTCGAACCGAGGTCGGCCACGTCAGCCCCAGTGGCCTCTCAACAGTACACACTCCAGACACTTCGCAGCTCGTCCTGGCTGCTGGGGGCTCCCACCTGCACAGAACCTTTCCCTCCTGGAAACTCCGGACCCGAATCACGGGAGGCAGCCTGTGCTGAAGTCGGCTAGTGGTTCCAAGGAGTGTCCCCTCCCTACTCCCATGTACGCTTCCTGCCACTGCGACTGCAGAGAGGCGAGACCCTTAATGACGTGCTGTCAGCCCACCCGCCAGGGCACGGTCAGAGGCCTGCTGAGCAGAGTGCCGAAGCCACATGGTGGGCATGGACTTGGTCCCTGGCCTGGAGACCAAAACATGCAGGGTGCCTGTGCTGAGGAGCCCACCACCTGGAGACGAGGGTGAGAGGACAGAGGTGTGACGAGACCCCGTCAAGGGCGCTCCTGTCTCTCAGGGACCAGCAGTTAGCGTAATGGCTATGTCGCTGGACTCCCATGTAGTCGACCGTGGTTCGCGTCCCACACCTGGTGGCTTAAAACTCATGCCAGGCGCGTGTGCGTGCGTGCCCAAGAGCCCGAGAGGAGAATGGAAGAGAAGGGATTGCGGCGTGGCCATCGCCCCTGGGGGGGGGGGGGATTTCTCACTTTCTGTCTCTGTCTGTCTGGCGAGTGCATGTGCCCTATGGCAAAAACCAAAAAAAAGAAAAAAGAGCAGCACGCTCTCCGCCCTCCCAGAGCGGGCGCCTTCAGCCACGAGGGCAGCGCAGGATGCACCCACGCTGACGCGGACTTCCGAGCCTCCAGAACTGGCAGCCAGCACGTGCCCATTATAAACCACCAGTCTAGGGTGAGGTTGTTCCTGCAGCATGAACCGGAGTCAGAGCGCCTCTGCCAGCCCAGTGACCGCTCCTGCCTCACTCCTGCAGGCACCTGAGGATGCCCAGCTCATTCCCTGCTCCCTCACCCCCACCCCACAGGCCTGGCTCCTGGAGATGGTGGGCGAGCCCGGCGCTGGCCCTACCTTATAGATGCACTTGTGGAAGTCGTTGAGGACGCCCTTGTCCTCCTCCTCCTCCTCCTTGACCACTTCCTTTTCCTGAGCGAAGAGTCGCCGCCGGCCCGTCTTGAGCTGGGCCTGGCCCACCTCCTTGAGTTTGCTGGGGAAGCCGTTCCGGGGGGCCACGCCGTGGATGAGCCCGTTCTTGGGCTCGAAGCGGGGCAGGGGGTGGAACTTGTGGTGGTCGTTCTCGGCGTGGCCCTCCAGCGGCCCCTTCCGCTTCTCCAGGCTCTCCTTCTCCATCAGCACCTCCCTCTCCAGCCGCCGGTGCTCCTCGGGGGACAGGGAGTCGTAGGAGAGCAGGTACTGGCAGTAGGCCTCCTGCAGCTTGGCCAGGCGGTCCTGGGCAGTTTTGGGGATGCGCAGCATGTCCGCGAGTTTGTTCCATTTTTTGAGGTCAGTCACTTGCTGCATGCCGCCCATCTCGTTGATCAGCCGGAAAAAGCAAGCCAGGTCGAGCTCACAGCCTCCTGGGACGGGGAGGGAGGGAGACGGGGTGGTTGGTGAAGGGCCCGTGGACGTGACGCCTGACTCAGCTGCCCCAGTCACTGCACCCCTCCTGTGTGCGGGGACTCTGCTGGGCGTTGGGTTGGGGCGGAGGAGGTGACATCACACAATGAAGGGTCACGGCCAAGAGTGATGGGGACGGCACGGATCAGGGGCTGCTTTCTCTGTGGGATGGTCTGGGAAGGGGTGTGACCAGAGGATCCAGAGCCCTGAGTCACAGCTGTGGCGGGCACTAGTGCCACGCCCCCCTTCTCTCCCACTGGGACGCAGGAGTCCCAAGGCCAGCAGCCG